CAAAGTGCTGCAACTTCTCAAGGGATTGAGATAGAGTCAAAGGCTTTTCAGTGTTGGTTACACGTTACCTTATGATCAACCTGGGGTCATTTTAAGCCTCTCACAAGTCCAAAATTTTCTTGGCGATGAGGGGGACTCCGCCCCCCTTCAAACGCCCCAAACAGAAGGGTGCACATCCCCATCTGGCACCCCCCTGATGTATCTCTTTGATATGGGTTGGCGCCGAAAAAGTGATCAGTTGTTTTAAACAACATTTCTCAAACGAAATACAGTGTTTTGGGTCTAAATAGGACATTTTTCACTGGTTGAGGCCTCAAAAAGGGGGGGGGGGGGGGCAAAAAGCCGTCGAAACACGCTTATATAAGGGAAAAGGTTAAGGGTTCATAATAAGTGGCATATCAAATTATAATTGGCTCACTTTATCCAAGCTTTTTCTAGTTAAACAATATTAGTATTAAATTGATTTGGGGTAAGTTTCAGTTAAGAAAGAATTAACTTTGAAAGAGCTGTGAGAAGCCCATGACTTGCTGGATCTGTATGTGATAAGCTGTTTGCACGCTCCCCTTGTGGCTCACGGGTTGCCTTTAGGGCAGAGGCATCAGAAATGCACTTACCATTTATCACTGTGTGATGGTAAGTGGCGACTGAATTGGTAGTCTATGTATCTCTTAGCTCCAGCAGATGAGGCTGGTGTTCCTTTAAGTTTGTAACACCCAATGTTAGCCAAAATCATCTTTCCTGTTTCAGCGCCATATGACCTAAATTGTGTTGGTGGGCAAACAAACAAAAACAAACGGTCTGTTTGATATTGAAATACTTTGAATGTACTGTTGTAAATCCAAAGCAGGATAAATTCATAACATTAAGTGTTAATATAAATATATATAAGAAACTGTATGGCTAAATATTTACATCTGATGCAAAACATAACACTGCAGGGTAGAGACTGTAAACTTATTTAATCTTTTAGTATACTAAGGCCATTATTTTTTAATATTTCGGTTTACAGACCCGCCGACGCTGTATCTTGGGAAAATGAAAAAAAAAAAAAAAAACCCCCCCCCCCCCCCCCCCCCCCCCAAAAATTCTGTGTTGTCTTGAAATACGCTGCTAATAATACGACTTGTCAAAGAAATGTCACGGTAAGTATTTTAATTAACTGTTAAACCTACCACATGCCAGACTATTTTACCTACGATTTATACACGCAACCGGTTATCTTTACTCGAGAATAGCCTGTCGTCTGCTAGTTGGGCAAAGTGTTTATTGGTGTATTATGAAAGAATGTCTGTTAAATGGGGTCAAGCCATTCTCACAGAATTATAATTAGGCTTTGATCATATTTCATCAATGCATTGAAGGTCGAAATGCGTAAAAATGTAAAACAACCAAACAACCAAACAAAAAAAAAAACACGCCAAATTACGTAAGCAATTACATTCAAGGACAGAGCGAGAGAAATCTGCTGCAATTGACAAGATCAGTATTTTCAGATTTTACAAAAAAAAATAGTCTTTAAAAGCAGATTGAATACAGGTTTCAAACAAACAAAATAAAAAAAAATGCCCGCACTTACTTTTAATAGATTTTTATGTCAAAAATTGACCCGCTAATTATCCGATAAAAATATTTTCACAATGGGCAAAATTGAACATGACTTTGTGTAATCTTTTCTTGACAGTTTTTTTTAACATCTGATCTGTAAAGAAATGAGTGCAAGTCAGCTGATTTTCGGCACCTTTGATGATTCAGATTACACAGCAGTGTGTAAACATCAAAGAATGACAGATTCTTTTGAAGAGCTCGCTTGCCACTTGTCATAAGTCATTGTGTGTAGATTTCATGTGTGTTTTTAAACAATGGCAATATGAGCAAAAGTTTTTTTTGTGTATTTAAACAATCTTTGGAATAGACAATCGGCGATGTATTTAATTTCATTGCTCTAGTAAGTACTATGTATATGTATGCACCACATTTATAGTTATGAAAACTTTTTTTTTTTTTTTTTCCCGCCGCCGACCCTACCTTTTTTTGGAAAAAATCAGTAAACCAAAATATAAAAAAAAAATGGCCTAATCCGTCAAATACCATGTTACCAAGAGAAAAATAACAACCTCTTCTATAACTGCTCATGAATTTTAAATATGTATGACTTTCAGATAATTATCCAAAAAATCAATCTTTTGAAAACTAATTGTACGTGATTGTAATTATGCTCGCAAAACTTTGCAAGATTTATTTTGATTAATTTGAATATGTGAAGTCCTATAACTTACGTCACTTCATCAAAATTATATGATAAATCACAAGATAGTTAACACAGAAAACTGTTATAGCAATGCAGCCACATTTCCTGGGAAACTTGGTGTTTCTTATATCAGGCAATTTACAGCCGGGAAGAAGAGGGGAAAAAAAGCATCAACAAAAATTGATAAAAATCACATTTTATTGGCAGAATGTTAAACTTGTGTTTCCTGTCTGACAGAAACTGTTGAATATATTAACAACATTCTTTTGCCTGCAAAAACTGGGTTTTTATCTGCAAAAACAGGTGTAATAATCATAAAAATACACCCGAGCTTATAAACACTGCAGTTTACATCTTTATTGTTGATTGTAAAGCATAAATACATGAAGGAAACATTATAAATCTGTTGGCAAATGGTTCGTTTAAAGAAAGGAGAAAAAAAGATAATTTGAATACTTCATTTCTGCGTATTAACTGATGTTTTTGTTATTGAATTTTTAGTTTTAGTGAATGCGATTTTCCCCAAAAATTTCTTTACCATTGTTACTATACTAATTTTGTATAAATACAAATAATGATATTCTTTTTAATTCATGTAAGGTGAATAAGATATGTAAAACTCAAAAAGAAAATTAGGTCAGGATAGATGTTAAGTTGGATGCGCAGGCTGGTCTGGATCCATGCTGGACGCAAACGCATTATGTTGGTTTTGTCATGACGTGGCTCAATTATATCACAAAGGCCTGACCATACCGAATGTCATATGTCTCTTGTTGTTATTATGGCTGACTGACTGAGGCTGAAAAATGTTGCCAATATATAAATATGCTTTATGTTCTGTACAACTGTTCATAGAGCCTTTATAGACACATGCTGTCTTGAAATGGGTTTCCTTAATACTCCCGAGACTAATCAAGCTATTTTATGCATCATGCCAACCATTGCAGAGTGTTTCAGTAGCCTATTTTATGCTATAATTCTATTTTCGAATTGATCAAATTATACTAACATAAAAATGACTTGCATACAGTACAAATACATTTATTGAAAGAATAAAGAAATCACATAAAATAAACTGAAATTAATCTATAAATTACAGTGAGTCAATGCACTGGAAGTTCTTTTTCGTGACATCATTATTGCATGTGGGTGTTACATTTGTTTTTTGTATACTGTGTGAAAAAGAAGTACAATAAAAAGACTATAAATATGATTTTAAAATCTTATCAACATAAGAAATGCTACTTGCCCTTCTGCATTTATGTAGTAGTCTTGCCCTGCATTGAATTTTCAAATGTCCTTCATTCATTTATGTGTAAAAGACTTATCCTGCTTTAAATTTTCAACTGTCATTTCTTCATCTTTATGTAAAGGTTTTGCCCTGCATTGAATTTTCAATTTTCCTTTTTTCATCTTAATGTAAAGGTTTTGCCCTGCATTGAATTTTCAACTGTCCTTTCTTCAATTAATATGTGTAATATACTTGCCCTGCTTTGGATTTTCAACTGTCCTTTCGTCATTAATATATAATGGTTTTGCCCTGCATTTAATTTTCAACTGTCCTTTCTTCAATTAATATGTGTAATTCACTTACCTAGCTTTGGATTTTCAACTGTCCTTTCTTCATAATAGTTTTGCCCTGCATTGAATTTTCAACTGTCCTTTCTTCAATTAATATGTGTAATTCACTTACCTTGCTTTGGATTTTCAACTGTCCTTTCTTCATTAATGTATAATGGTTTTGCCCTGCTATGGATTTTCAACTGTCATTAGTTCATTTACATGCATTGCTGTCCTTTGAAAATGTATGAGTAATTAACTTACTGTGTGTTGTAATTTTGAACTGTCATTTGTTCATTTATGTGAATTCTGTATAAAAAATCAAAATGGTCTTTGCTGCAAGGAGTCAAAGTACTTGAAAAAAAAAAAGTAAAGAAAAAAAAGGAGTCCCGCATAATCACATCTAATTTGGTAAGAATTGACAGTTGAGAACTGTTCCACATTAATTTGATGTCTAGATAATATTCAGACCATTTTAAATAGATTTTAAATTAAGATGAAAGATGACAGGGGGGGGGAAGTAAATAACTTCTCGGAGACTGGCATTAAGTAGTTAAATCTGCAGATTCTGTATTCAGAGCATTCCAAAACTGATAAACTATCTCATGATATAAATTCATATAATAATTTGAATAATGATTTTAATACAAATTCAAGTTCATGTCATACATAATTGATAATTGAAAATTTACATGATAATTTGTCCAAAAAAAATTATTATTAGATGAAGTTTCTTGTTGAAAAACTTAGTATAATTCAAAAGATAATAAGTATGAAAGGTTATCATGATAATAATGTGAAACCCAATGATTTTCAAATACTGTCCTTCTGCTCAGTAGGCAAGGTTAACTGGCCTCTTCCTTGTGAGCTGGTTAAATCACTGCGCAATATGATGGGGGATATTCACAGACCTGAGCCAGACTAGCCTGTCCACCCATGCATGAAGTCATTCTTCTGGCAAAACTTTTAGTTCTCAAAATTAAAATTCTCCTAAATTAAAATAAACTGTTCCAGAATGTAAGCAAATAAGGATTAACTAACAGGCAAATTTTGAGATATTGCAACAGAAATTTTGAATTTTAGCTTTCATCTGAGTTTCTGGCTAGTTTTTAGTTCATTGCTAGTGTTTTAAATGTATTTGTTGTATGATATTTTGTCTGGTCATTTATGTTACTATATTTGTATATTACAGTACGAAGAGTTCCACCACACTTTTCTATTGAACCACCGGATGTTCTTGAAGTTGAACCAAACGCCAGTGTAACAATAGACTGCGTTGCTGTGGGATCTCCCATGCCCGTCGTGAAGTGGCGGAAAGGATACCAGGAAGTTAACAAAGACGAAGACCCGCCACACGGAAAAAATGTCCTTAATTTAACAGGCGTTCGAGAGTCTGCTAATTACACATGTATAGCTCAATCAGAATTAGGAAATATAGAAAAAGATGTACAAATCAAAGTAAAAGGTAAGATTGTCGTAACCTTTATACTCTGTGAATGCCCATGAATGACATATAAACCGTTACTGCCCGTTATTTGTACCCAGTCGCAGTATTGTAAAAACAAAACTTCTCTACTGTCTCACATGTAAATGAAATATTGGGAAGTTGTGATCATTTGTAACTAGTATAACCAAAAACAAGTAGCATGTTTAAATATATACATAATGCAATGTCACATTATTTTGATGTTGTTTAGTAATTTTTTTAAAAATCATTTGAATTTTTTTCCTCTCTCTTTCTTTCTCCAGTTAACCAAGTGTGCATTTGTGATTGCATTATGGTGTCAATTTTGTACTGTGGGTGTTTTACCCAAAGCATGAATAAAAATACATGTAGCGAAATTCTAATTCATTTAAAGTAGTTTATTATGCACAGAAATTTTCCCAATACACGTTTCTCAATATTTTATCTTTTTTTATGTTTTTGTTGTAATTTTTTGTTTTGTTCAATTCCTGTTATTTTAATTCCTGTTATTTCCCCTCATTAAAAAGTAACAAAAGAATGAAAGATAAAGATTTAATGGTCAAAATTGTAATATTACATCTCTGGTTACAGTGTAGAATACAATATTCTTCTGGTTACCATGTAGAATATAATATTCTTCAGTTGCTGTTTTACACCAGGTCTGTTATTACAATAGTGATCTATAAGTGCATCACTTTAGCATCGATCTGGTTAAAATGTGAATTTTACCAGTTTCCACTTTAATTCTCATTTAATAAAATTACGTGAGGCGTAAATTTTGTTTTCCCAATAAAAGGGCGACTTCTGAACCCCACATGGAGTACTAAACACAAAAAATTGAGTGAGGAATCTTTATTGTTTATTAAACAAAACAAGGGGATGGATGAGTCAAATAAGGTCATTTGTTTTCAGATGAGAATTTTGAAAACATTCCTTTGCTTATATATTTTGTTTTTAAAGAAAAAAATGGTTTGAATTTCTCTTCAAGTTTTGCGACAATATTCCTGCAGTATAAGTGTAATACACCCATTTTTTTGTTGTTTCTCCATTTTTATGTTGAAAGCTGGCTACAGTCATTTTATTCACTGATCCTTGTGATACAAGCAGACAACAAAATATGATTTCCATTTCAAAACTTTGAAAATAATCCGGATTGTTCCAATCATAGATAATTGCTTTCCTAGGGTGAGTTATTTCCCCTGAATATGATGACACTTCACCAAACACATTGTTAATATGATAAATCAATATAAACCATAGGCCCATAGGGAGCTCATTTCTAGAGAAAATTCCAGTTTCATATTCTTTATTCTTCTCAGCGGGCACGATTAACACTCGCCAAAATCTTCAAGCACTCAAATTGAAATTTTGATTCGATGATATTAATAACTTCAGTTTACAAGCAGACTGGTTGTCATGATTATAAGGAAAGTTTGCTGATAAATTGATCTTAAGCTGGCATATTTATGTTACAATGTCTCCAATTCCATTTGTAGCCAAGTAATTGTAGGTGTTTTAAAACCCATATGTTATACTGCTGATGTTATAGTGGTTTGACTTTACTATCTTCTTTCATGGCCAGTTTGGCAAGAACAGTCTTCAATGTGGTCAGACCTTTTTTCTATCCCATTGTTGAATGTTTATGCGATAAATACTGTGAATGTAGACCAATTTCATTTAATTTTACTAAGTTGTCATGATTTTTGCCCTGATTTTTTTACATCTTTGACTGTTGAGGGGAACATGCTTTCTTTAATATTTTTACTTGTAATTCATGGAGAGTCCCTTAAACGCTTTGTAATTCATGGAGAAACAGTCCCCTAAATGTATTGTATTTTATAGGGCAACAGTTTCCTGAATGTTTCGTAATCCATGGGGTCAGTAGTCGATTAATACAGTTCACAATTAGTACAGTAAAAAATTTGATGTAGCCATCATTAATATCATTGTTGTAAAAACAAATAAAACATGATTTATCTATGCATGTATAATAAAGGAATTAAGGCAGAAGTTCTATTCAAAAACATAATACTCTCGTATTTTATGTATGAATAAATTATGAAATGTGTAAAAATATGTGAAACAATATGTTTCGAGGGCTGAACGTAAGACTGTTGTAAGTCCTTTATTTCAGTTTATTGCAGTTTTACAATCCCTAGATTTAGCCATGATAACTAAAATATGATATACTATAACATTACAGGACTGGTGTATATTATAGAAAATTTAAAGAATTATTTTCAATTATTCATGTCTTTTGTGTAGAATTAAAAATAGAAATAAAAGAGTCAATTTGTCAGAATCTCCCGAAAATATAACAATATAGTAGATTTAGAAAAGATATAGTAGATTCTATAATTTTTTCATTTTTTTTGCTTCGAAAAAGGGTATCATGATTAATTCATGTACATTATAGTATTAACCCATTGCTTCATGAGCATTTTGTGAAAAATGGCTGTTTTCATTGAAAAGTCTCCCGTTACAAGTTCAAATTGCTATAATACTATAAAAACTGCTTCAACACTAATCAAACTTGGCACAAATGTTGACTGGACCATTGTCCTTGCAACAACATGCTCAGACTTAAATTAATTTTCTGTTACCATGGCAACGAGGGGACATCTCAAAATTGCCAAAAATCACTATTTTGCGTTGATTTTTTCCATCAAAATTGATTTCAAAGTGCTGCAACTTATCAATGGATTGAGATAGAGTCAAATGCTTTTCAGCGTTGGTTACACGTTACCTTATGATCAATCTGGGGTCATTTACAGCCTCTCACAAGTCCAAAATTTTCTTGGCGATGAGGGGGACTCCGCCCCCCTTCAAACCCCCCAAAACAGAAGGGGGCACATCGCCCTTCTGGCAACCCCCTGATGTATCTTTTGGTTGGGGGGCCGCGCCGAAAAAGAGGTCAATTTTTTTAACAACATTTCTTAAACAAAAACAAGTGTTTGGGGCCTAAATAAGGCATTTTTTCATCATTTGAGACAACAAAAAGGGGGGGGGGGTGAAAAAGGCGTTAAAAGGCGTGTATATGAAGTAATGGGTTAATCGATACCTCAATGGATAAAAACGTTTGTGTCAGCAAAATGAGCTGACAATAAGTTCAAACATTTTGGACAATATGTAACTTACAGTACAGTATACATAATTTAGCTGATACGTTCAAGTTTTCCATGAGATAATGTAAATAAACATAATGAATTATGAATTGTCAAATAACATAAATAATCCCAGTAAATTCTGTGGGGCTGAAATTAATGACAGAAATTTAAGAATAGGTTTGTCGAGTGTCAAATATCTGAAGTTTAATGCAATATTGATGTATTCCTGATAACTATGTTCGTTAATTTTCACTCCATCATTTTAACCGCATCACGACAAAACCAACATAGTGCGTTTGCGACCAGCATGGATCCAGACTGTTCGCTTACAAACCCTATAACAAGTAGAGAACTCGATAGCGAACAGCATGGATCCTGATCAGACTGCGCGGATGCGCAGGCTGGTCTGGATCCATGCTGGTCGCAAACACACTATGTTGGTTTTGTAGTGACACGGCTCAAATCAGTTTGACTTTAAGGTTTAGGATGGCTACATCAAGTTAATTTTACTGTACATGCACTTGACACATTTATTTCTCTTATTCAATTTTATCAAAAACTTTGGAATGAAGTGGAGTAAAAAAAAAAATTTTTTTCATGTTGCACTTTTTTTTCCCCAAAGCCTATGCTAATTTTAGCATTGTGACATTAATTTTATGTTAATAACTTTGGAATTTATGATAATCAGTGTCATTTGGCAGCTTGTAATTCCAAGCATTTGTCTGCATATTTTTGCAGATTTATCTCTCTATTATCACTATTATGAGTTAATATTGCTTGCAAAATTATGTTAATCATGTATGAAAAATCTCTTTGTTCCAGCTCTTATATTTGTCTATATATGTAGATAAACTTTAAAATGTTGCAATGCTTCGTGAGAAACTCATTGTCTGCCTTTATTTGGTATTTTATAACCTATTTAGTTCTTAAACTATGATTTTACTTAGCGAATATTTTGAGACGAATAATATATTTATGATTTAACTTCCCATAAATAGTGGTATGATTTGAAAATTCTTTGTAAATGATTCAATTTAAGTGGCATTACGTAACAATACATTTTGAGGGCTTGATGCAATTTCGGTGTAAACACAATTGATTTCAAGAAGAAGATGCTACCATTTTGAATCAAACCCACAATTTGCTATGTACATTTGTATAAGGAAGATATAAAATTAACAAAAATCATGCAAGAGCCGGTGAAATTGATACATGGTTTATTGTTTTATAGCAGACAATGGGTTTAACTATATTTTCCTGTTTATATTTTACATATGTTTTATGTTATGTTAATGTTTATACATCAGCCTATGTTTACTTTAATAATTTTCCACTTTCGGTTTATATGGGATTTATTTTACCTCTTGATTCTGCAATTTTAATTTTTGTCAATAATTTTGGAGAAATTTGTGTGAGATATATTTTCGTTTTTCTATGTCTTTATTTTAAGTTTATTTATTTTCTTTCTCTTTTTTTTTTTCTAAAAAATCTCCTGTTTTCCCAGAGTAATGTATGGCATGGAGAAATAGTTTTTGCGTTTTGATATCAATGTATGTTGGATGCTGCCCAGTTTTGTCTAGCATTGGTTTTATGTTTTGAGTAGTTTATGTTTTCCTTAGATTTTCTAACATATCTTATTCACTTGATGATTATTTTGATAAGCTAGATTTCGGTAACACCATTACAAATTCTGTTAGGCTCACAGTTTGCTACCCCCAGTCGGCCATTTTGGTTTCCATAGTTACCATTGAGATCTAGATTTCTGGTGAGAGGAAATCCCCCACCAGGTGGAGCCAGTTTGTTTATTTATCCAATCAACAAGTATGTTACAAATGCTGGCTGAGTGAGTAGATACCTAAGGCATTTTGTAATAAACTACTTCATTGGTAAGAAGTTTTCTTCAAAGGAGTTGAATTTGTGATACTGCTGTAAAATGCATTTATTCAAAAACACAACCTGCCTGTAGCAATTGGCACACACAGATATATTTCACTACTGAATGTTCACCTTTTGTTTTTGTAGAGGAATTAACATTTTTCATTAAATACAAGTGTTTCACTAATCAGATTTACTCAGTGCTGCCTTGGATGTTATTGGTTACTGTAATTACCTCATAGAAAACTTCTGATAACGATTTGAGTAAGAATTCATCAAGTATTGCTTTGACTAGATGTGTCCATCTTGGCAACTATTGGGAGAGCAGTGCTATTTGTGGTGGCTCTTCTAAATCATTATAGTCAATGTGAATATGTACTAAGATGTGAGACATCTTGTTCACTTGTTAGATTGGAATTATTATTTTGTGATAAAGAGTATTCTTGTTAGTGGTGTACGGAGTTTTTTTTTCTCAGTATCACTGATACGTATTGGAGCCGTCAGTATTATTTATTTGATTTAATGAATTATTAAGTGCCCGGTGTGGTGTTCAATTGTAGTGACAATAAAAGAGCTAGTAGAGGGTATCTGGTCTATCGTGGTATCTTCTCTCTCTGTTGTTTTTTAATCTCGAATTTGTGTGTTAATTTTCTCAGTGCCATACATCGTGGAATTTAAGTAAACATTATCTGGAGGATACAATAACAGGAACGTGTAATTTTTGAGGGATTATTTCATATTTTTTTTATGTGTATATATTAAACACATGGAGCGTAATTGACGTGTCACAGTGTTCACTGTATAATGTCGAGATGACTGTCAACGTTTATAACACGATCCCTGACCAGGGTTCTAGCACCATGTCCACGTCTGTTTGTTTTCGTGTGGTCTGGATTTTAACCGTTATTATTCACCAAGTTTCATTTACTACTGCAGCGTTGCCCAACCCTCCAGTGAAACTCACCGCCTCGGAAATTACGCCCTCATCTTTAAAGCTGTCATGGAAGCCTGGAAACCAGGATGATATTTCATATGTTGTGCAATATAAAGCTAAGAGCAGTCCAGGCGATTTTATTGAAATCAAATCTGTTAAGAATACAGAATATATGATTGAAAAGATGAACGCGTTTCAGCACTATCAGCTGCGCGCTATTGCCGTAACAAAAAGTGGGAGGAGCCCCCCAAGCGCAGTGATAGAGGTTGTTACGGGCGAGCTAGGTGGGTACTATGCACTGAATTTGGCTGACGGTTTGGTGGTAGGCTAAACTATATACTGGGAGCAGCTCGCTTTTTTCTTTTCTTCTGTGATAAATACTCAATGCATTACAATAAATAATTTCTTTTTTTTTTTATAACAAAATTTATACAATTTTTTTTCAGAATTTTTCCCCCCTTTTTTGATGTAAATGAAAGTCTTGTGACTGCATTTTAAGAAAGAAAATTGAAATATAAACCGACATTGAGTATTTTTATCACAAAGATTTTAAGCCATACTATATAACTTAACCAATCTTTTATTATAACATAACACGGTTTGCTGTGGGAATATTTCAATACTAACCTGATATTAATTATTATACCATGCTTGTGTAGTCAATACTACACCCATTTAGCTCTCGTTACTTTTTTCAGAATCATTGAATGCTAGAATCCTTATATTAAACAAAAGACCCCCCGATATATATCAGCAATATAATCAATATGTACGATATAAATATATATTTCTAATTCTGTATATCAATGAAATTTATTGTTAATTTAGCTGGTAATAAGTCATAGGCACTTGGATCAACAGTTTTCTACAATATCATATTGAGACTGTGTCTTTTACAGCAACTGTTATTAAACTTGTTTTTTGACATTTTTTTTTCTTTCATAGACAAACGACAATAAGGCATTTAATATTAAATTATATTCCTTCCTTATGGTTAATATTTCTCATAAAAGTGCAAGAAATTGTTTCAATTTGTATCAAATTGCACGGCAAGATGAAATTGCTGTTTTGATATGTTGAATTGTGCACATTTATGTAAGTTTGCCCAGCACACTTTTGTATAAGGCTATGTATTCCTGGGTGCACTATTTTACCCCCCTAGTGCACCGTTTTTCTGGTGCACTTGCTTAACAAAATATATATAAATAAATTATAAGCTCTGTAATAAGAATATTTCTATATGCAGATTGCTGCAGCAACTGGCTTGTAAATTCATGAGGAGTTAGTTGTTTCAATATGGACTCGCAGGCAAACAAGTGTTCCTTTAACAAATTGTTTTCCTCATTTCAAATTATTATGGAAAGATCAGACTGTCTAATATAAGGCTTTGATTACCACACTGATGGCAGAAACCATATGTATGCATTATATGAAAGCCCACATGTGCAATTATCACAGGTTTTTGTAAGAGATGATTTGTTCCGTTAGGAAAATGGCTACCCTTTATGATTAGTTACACTTTCCAGAACCAATAAATTTTTTCTAATGATTTTGTAATTTGCTGGTAATTTAGTATATGTTATTTTTTCTCCCCAAGAAAAAACGATTCATACATATTGGCTTTGATCCTATCTCGATAGGAAATAATGCTGGACTTTGAATTTGCATATATTCATGTTGTCTGTTGTCCATTCTTGATTCGTTAATAATGGCCAAAATAAGCATGATAAGGTACGTTGAGCCAGTGTTTTAAATTTTTATGGAGGTTCACGTCCTTGTATTTACATATAATGCCAGTTTCTATCGTGAGGAATTTTCGACATGTAAATATTAGGTTTTTTCAGTGTCATATCCTAAAATTGTAAACTTTGCTTTTTTTGCGATATCACTTTTAAGTTTACAAAACAAACTGAAGATTTGTTAATAAATATAGGAAAATTAATGATTATACATGTACCAAATTTTTTTTTAACAAGAACTAATCACTGTGAACACAAACTAAACAAAAAGATGGCTGTTTTGTCAATCCTCCTGGGTGATAAAATCTTCATAATAGGTTAGAATAATTATAGGCATTTCATGTTACTCATGGAGAACAAGCTTCCTTTTTATTTGAAATATCTTTTAGAAGTTTCAGTAGTTAAGTGTTCTAACACAATAAAATAGAGAGAATTATTTCACCCCCTCTGATTGATAGGAAGAATGCCGTTATCTTTGAAACCGTCCACTCCTGATTCATCCAACATTGCCTGACCTGCCAGCAAAACTTAGATTTTCATGGTCCGCTGTGAAATCTTGATTGTTTTTAGGCATCCCACTGGCTTTAATGGCATTCAATTAACCACAGTCAAAGAATAGATAATGGCATATAAATGCAAATAGGTGAATTAGTAAACTTTAGTTTAAGACTTTTTTCTTGAAATTTTATTTCCATGCTTAAGGTTTTATTTAATCGTTACCATGCATAATTTGAATAATTTACCTAGTCTGCTTCGAATTTTGAGTCGCTTTGAATTTAGAGCAATGAAAATAGTCAACATACTGATCTGAAAACTCAGAGATGCTGCCCGCACTGGTGGCAAAGTCAAGTCACCTATGATAAAATTTTAAGCAAAGTGAATGTGGATCTTCCATTATTTATCTCATAATAGCTACAAAGTTAAAACTGAAAGGTCCTTAAAAGTTACATTTTTAATTGCTTGAAAATAGAAATTTGTTTTTCTTGTACAAAATGTATTTGAATTTTTCAGACTTTCCTAATGTCATATGTGATATTTAGACCATTTACAAAAAGACATTTTATACTTTGTTTCTTTATTTTCTACATAAATTTTAAATTTATAAGATTTTCAGTGTGGCTGATCTATATTTTTCAAATTTCAATAAATCCTTAATTTTTTTCAACCTCTAATTTTTCAATAAATCTAAGAGTAAGTTGAGGAATATATATATGTGTAATAACCATAGGGAAATCGAGATATTTTCCGTTTCTACATTAAAATGGGGGTGTTTAAATTTTGTTATTGTCGTAGGCAGATGCTCAGGGATATATTTTTAAAAAACTTTTTATGTACATGTAAGAGGTGGGAGTCTTTCCTTGCTTTTATCAATATCAGGCTCTCTTTTATGTCCAGTAAATCTTATAACTGTAGCAATTGAATAATTGTATAAGAAGTATAAAAGTGCATGAGTAAGCATAGGGTTGAAACAATATGCAGTACTGTTTTCACACTTGTTTTAAAGTGGCCTTTAGCTTTTATTTTCTGTTGGTTAAACAATACAGTGTTGTTTTAAACTAAGTATTTCATTTTGGAAAAGTGCTTCATAACACTGTGAAGTCTTCTTCAAAACAAGGCCCTGAGAGCTATTTTATAACGCATTGGTGAAGTTCGTGTCATAAAATAGAAGATCGGTAAAGGAAAAATAAAATATTGAGAGGGGACCGGTAGATTAGAGGTATCGAGCGGTTTCCTTAGTGTTAAAAGTGTATTTTATTGTCTGCAAATTTATTTTCTACCTTAATTCTTTTGATTTCCCAATTATATTAATCTTTTTGATTTCCCAATTATATAAATCTAAAACAATATATTTAATAAGGCCACTTTAAGGTAGATGATTCAATCGAAGGTATTTTTGAGTATTAGTCACACATGTCCTTTATACTAAGTTAACAATTATCCTGTAGAAAAACATTTTTTTAGAGGGTTAATTGTGATTAAAGAGCATCTGCTACAATTGTCACTTCAAAACTGTTTTGCTCTTTTAATATATTAATTGTGTACTTCACAGGGGAGTAATAATTATTTACACACATAATACTGGGGAGCAGTAATTAATGGTCAGACATGAGCACTTCCTGTTATGTAATACATGCAGCCTGATCTGGTGTCTGTTTTATGGTTAGTTATTATCACACACATGATGGCATTCATTATCTTGCCTATTATCTTATCTTCTCATGTTGTTACAAAAAAAAAACCCTCCCTGCTCATCTATGGCTCATCATAGTAATAACAAAATAACATCTCATTATGGAATTACCAAGAAATTTCAGAAGAGAAAATATGAAAAATATGCTTATTTCATTCTATTGGTTGGGGGTAGGGGGATGAAAGATTTAGAAATGACTGTATTGAAGAAATTATTGTACATTGGTGTATTAAGAGTGTGACTTAGGTATATATTTGAATTAATCATGCTTCTTAAGGAAAGGTGCCGTTTTTCTTAACAGATTCAGAATATTCAGGAGTATATTGAAATGTACTTGATACCATTGTTTATCCCATTAAAGAAATAGATCTAGGTGTTAATTGTTTTCCTTCCCTGATAGGATATGCGCAACCTTTAACGTAAATCCTGCAGTTTTCAAATTGGAGATATCTCTGATATGCTGGATAGATATGTGAAGAAAAATGCAGCTGTTAATACATAATTTAGTTGGAAATAGATGTAAAATGTAGAATATCGCATGCTAAACAACAATATTGTAGGTCTGCGAGGATCAGATCAAAGTTGCCGATCCCGTTTTTATTTTCTTGTACTGGTCTGCTGTCCAGAGGAAAAATCTTTGTACTTAAGAAAGTGGGGTGACAGTTTTAAGGCAGGTGATGGCTTGAAGCTGATAAGGGTTTCTTTTACACTTTATGGGCCAAATATGTTTAATTAAATGCTATTTGAACTGCTATTAAACAATGAAGCTATCAAGATCAAAGGATATTGATAAAGAATGTTGGTTAATTAAAGGTAAAAGGTGTAGTTGTTCATGGGTAATAGATTTCACTTTGTCCACTTACGTATAAATAATTAGCTTTTCAATTAATGTTTTTTCTTACATCTGGATATCCACAAAATGGGTAAGGGACAGATCTGACAAACAAAGTATACGAGGTTCACAAGGATATTTTGGGTTAACCCTTGAACCTGCAGAGAACTGAAAGTGATAAGCCTTTGCGAAAAGTATAGAACCAGGCCAGCCTGCCTACTGTTACAGTCTGACCAGACTCTGTACTGTTGGTATTTCAATTTTTGTAATTTGATAATCATAACCAGGTAATTTCCCTGGACCGCCCCAAATTGTACCAAGACAATGCAGCAGGTAAAGGATTAATTTAAGTAGGCTAGGTTGATATGATAAAACTAAAATGCTGGAAATTAAGGTGTTGTTGTTAAACTTCTGTTCCTGCAGTAATATAAGCACACATATAAAGATTTGGTATTGTTTTATCTATGTACAATGTCTGTATATTTTTGATGGTAAGAATTGTACTCCCTATATAAGAGAAAG